TAAATTATTTAATATATAAAAATTATCAAATATTATATGTTTATGAAAAATTAAGCGTGGCTGTTGGAAGCTAATCCCAGGCTAAAGTACCAAGTCACGACAAAAAAGGCTAATTAGCCAAGTCACCGACAAAATGGAATGCAGCGGTGTTGGCGAGCGCTGTCTCGTGCGGAAATTACCGATGCCCCGAGAGGCAAAATCTGTCCATCTGCAAACAGACGCTCACATTACAGCTCATACACAACCATTGCAAACAGAGGAGAAGAAAAACGAGAGTACTGAGGCCGTCAACGACCTTGGCAGACGAAAACCGACAGACGGAGGATCGAAACCGCGGCGGCGAACAACAACCAACCTCTCACACTCAACGCAAATCTGCAGGATGAATCTATGCCTATTGATTGTTTTCTTTCTTCTTCCCATCGGCGTAGTTTATGTCATAACAAGCATCGCGTTACAATGGCCGATCTGTTGGCTCACGTCGTTATTAGGTGTTGTTTAATTACACTTACATTATTACACAGACCGGCACCCGACCTGTCGCAATCCCTAAACCTCCTCTTAGAATCTTTGTGATGTTCGAAATCTTTCCCAGTCCAACAAATTGCGGGCAGGATTTGTATACTATACTATATATATATATATTATTATATAATATCTTGATCTGATTTCAAATAGTTGTCTAATGTATAGGCTTCAAGAATCACAAATTTGGGCCATATGTATGAAGGCACCGTTGTTTAAACAAGTTCGGAAATGCAATCTGGTGTAGAATGGAATAGTGCTGTGCGGTTATAGTTTAAATGCAAGTCTTCCATTTTTTTTTATATATAACATATAATAAGAAATTGCTGTCCCATTTCTGAGTTGCTCAATTCCCATTTGTGCACAGAAATAAAAATTCTATTTGTGAAATGCTCAATTTCCGCCTGATTTTGCGTAATTAGAAATGCTCAATTCACCATTTGGTAAATTTTTTGTTCTGTAATTACATAAAAAAAATTATCCAACTCTGGTGTACAAGTTTACAGATATATAACAACAATTAGTCAAAATATATATAAACTTGTGGTCGCAAAAGAAAAAAATTAAAAATGTTAATCAATTAAGCAATATTAAAAATATATACGAAGATTATAAAAAAATATATTGAAATGTTATTAGAAATTTTGATTTACAAGGTAAAGACGTAAAAATTTTATTACACATATATGTAAAAATGAATTATGAAAACTTATTCATCAATAATGAATAAAAGTTTTCAAAAGAGCCAAAAAATATATTGAAAATATATTACAAATTTAAGATGTATTAATTGCATATATTTTTACTGAAGGACGAAAAGGTCAATGTCTCAATTCAAAAAATAAATTAATTACATAAAAATAATATTTCCAACCTAAAATTGGAAGGAGGTTATATTATCTACGATATTAACACCAAATTACAAAAATATATGTATATTTATATTAGAAATATATTAACAAACAGTTTATTAAAAACATTAGAGTTAAAAACTGTAGCGTAGTAAAACGTTTATTACACAGATGATGACAAAATTTAATTATTGAAAAACTATATCATAAATATATTCAAAAAATATTTTCAAAATATGAAAAAAAAAATTATTGAAAGATATATGTACAAATTAGATGTCTTAATTTGTGCATATATGTTTTACTCAGACGAACTGCTCATTCTCATTTTAAAAAAATAAATTAATTAGCACCGTAAAATTATTTAAACACATTTGGAAGAAGGTAAGATATATGTAGCATAGTATTACAACAAATTTACAAAATATATGAATTTATGTTAGCAAATATAGAAAAATAACAGTTGACTAAAAAATAAATTACAAAAATGTTTGACAAGATATAATAATGTGATAATATTATATATTACAAATTAGAGTAAACAAAAAGAGTGAAAAAGTTTATGTAAACGATATACTTACATTAATTATGAAAAACTATATCGTAAATATATTCAAAGTTTTCTAAATAAAAAAATATATTATTGAAAATATATTACAGTTAGATGTATAATTTTCGTTTATTTTAAACTCAACACGAAAAGGGTCAATCTCATTTTCCTAAAAATAAAATTAATTAGCACCATACTATTTCGAACCTACATTTGGAAGGAAGCTAACAATATTGACAATATACCAACAAATTAAAAATATATCAAATTTATATTAAAAATATATTAAATAAATAGTTTATTTCAATATATCTTAAACACATGTTAGACAGATATACTAATGTATGATATTATATATTACAAATTTAGAGGTAAACAATAAAGAGTGTAAAAGTGTTATTAAACAGATATACACTACATGTAATGTATGAAAAACCTATATCATAAATATATTCCCAAAATGTTTCAAATAAAAATATATATATTTAAAATATATTACAGATTAGAAATGTATTTTAATTTTGCGTTGGTATTTTTAACTCAACACGGAAAGGAGTCAATTCTCATTTCCTAAAAATAAATAAATTAGGCATCAAATTATTTTTGAACTACATTTGGAAGGAAGCTACATATATTATGTACATATATACAACAAATTACAAAATATATCAAATTTATATAAAAATATATTAACTAAAATAGTTTATTCAATTATATCTAAACAAATTTAGACAATATTACTAAATGATTAATATTATATATTACAAATTTAGAGGTAAACAATAAAGAGTGTGAAAGTTTTATTAAACAGATATGACTACATGTAAGTATGAAAAATTTTATCATAAATACATTCAAAAACGTAAATATAGTACAAATATATTCTCACCAATCCATTTTGCTGCCTATCATAAAAAATGTAGTACAAATATATTCTCACCAATCCATTTTGCTGCCTATCATAAAAAATGTTATCAAAATATATTACAACATAGATTTATTAATTTGAGTACGCAATCGTGTTCATGTTCATTCATGTCAATTTACTTTATATTAAATCGTAGCATGGCGTCGTTCACCTCTACTGCAACTTCCAGTACATGGCCAGGACGAATGTGTGCCTGTGGATATAGCCCGTGTATTGTTAGGATTTCCAGGTCCACCAAGAATCCAGGGCGTTCCTACTTTGTATGTCCCCGCCCTGTGGTGAGTGACCCAATCTTTACCGGTCATAACTTAATGAACATTAACAACCCATGAAACTAATAGTTCCATACTTTTCACTCATCAGCCTTGTGTCAGTTGGATTGGTTGGTGTGAAGAACGAAGCCATGAGAACCAAGGCTATGCGTCAGCCGGAGATGAAATTGCCATGCAATTGCGGGCTGATGTCATAGACATTCAACAATCCTTGCGTGTGCTTAAGACCATTGTGTATGCGCTCTGCATTGTCGTTGTTATTTTGTTGTGCCGTATGTAAGCATCGTTACCATGTTCTTAGTATGTGCAAAGACGTTAGTATGTGTTGAATATGTTGTTAGTATGTAGTTAGTATGTTTGTAGTACGATGGTATTATGTTGTCGCATATGGGAGCCGTAATACTAACTATCATGTTTTTGTCCACTACTAACTCCCATGGAACCTGTGTACGTACGTAAAAAATGTTTTCAATGGGTATATGCAAATTTCATCTTCAGCATCATATATCTGCGTTTGTTGTTTTTAATGTGTCATCTATTGTGCATGTGTATATAACAACCGAGTTTTCCTCCAGTTGATTGCAAATGAGATTAGTAAAGGAAATCGGCCATTCTTAGTCCTCAGCCAGGCAGGGTACAAGTCGTTGTCAAGGAAATTTCAGAGAAAAACAGGAAAAAAACATGGACTTAAACAGTTGAAGAATAAGTACATGAGCTTGAAGAAAGAGTGGCAAGCGTGGCTGAAGTTGATGGATTCAAGCAAGGGAGTGTCCGGGATAGGCTTTGACTATGACACCGGTTTGTTTCAGGCACCTGACGAGTGGTGGGACAAGATGGAATCAGTAAGTACATGTAGAAACAAGTTTTATATTTCTCATTTACCAGTACATTTTTTACTTCTTAGTTCAACTTGAATAAAATTTATGAATATGAAATATAACGTCAACCTCTTTTACACATGTACATGTCTGCAGATCAACAAGGTGTGTGCGAAGTTCAGGAAGAAAACGTTGGAACACCGTGACTTGCTGGAGACGGTTTTCATGGGGGCAGCAGCTACTGGGAAGCACCATTGGACCCCGGGAGAGAACATTCCTGAAGCTGCTACGGACTCATCTGATTCAGTGCGTAGTTTGGGAGCCCAGCCATTTGCTGATCCGATACCCACAGGAGTACAGGACGTGGATTCTGATTCTTCACTGGAGCATGTGTCGATTGAAAAGGCAAAACGGAGAAAGACGCCATCAACAAGTGTTTCAAAGTCGAAGAAGGCAACAAGTGGTGCGTCTATTATTGCGGAGAGCATGAACAGAATGACAGATGTGGTCCGTTCGAAGAATCAGCAGGTCACGGTCAGGCACCTGACAGGCAACGAAGCACTGTACACTATTTCCGAGTGCATGCATAAACTGAGCAGTATTCCGTCCCTGATTGGTACACCGTTATTCCACTTCGCCTCCACACTTATGGATAACGTTGATTACCGGGAGGTCATGATGTGCCAGCCTGATGACGACCAAATGATTGGATGGCTTACACAGAAGCAGCTCCAGTGTACTGCGTCGGGGCCATTTACAAACCTATTTGGGGGTCGCCGGATGTGATGTATCGGTCTTACGAGTGTTGAAGATGCATGTCCGTTTCTTCCTTTTTAAAACTTAGACTTATGGTACAGTTGGCTATGTACTAAAACAGGATGGTGGTGTGTGCATGTTTTGCATTCTGTCTTTTTTTTTTTTCTTCTTGCTAGCTACGGGCAGTGACAAGTTTTAGGTAAGTGCATGGGTTGACGGACCGGAAGCATGGTTGTGCTTCATTTTTGGGAAATGAATGGGATGTTTACGGTTTAATATTTTGTGTCGCTACGTTTAAGACAGGGAATTACGTTTTCGATGCACGCTTCTGAATGCCTATATGTCGCAAGTTCTTTTGTTAGTTTTGTGGTTGTTACAACCATGGCCCCCCTGTAAAGCATACGTTCAACAGCTTCTTCTTTTTTTTGCAATTCATATGATCATGCGTTCCAAAGGACATTGGTGACAGCATTGCTTTCATTAAAAACAATGTCGGCATTGTATAATTGCAAAATTCAATATAATTTAACTCAATGAATCACGTGCCAACTAATTGAAAGCTTGCCACTTTTGTAGGTTTTGCATCAACGAAGACGCGATGAATCCCT